AATAGCCTCCTTATAAAAACAATATTCAGTGTGGAAATGGGAGAGATCCTTTGGGTTTGTGACCCGCTCCCTCGCAGAGTTGTAATAAACATGAAATCAGTAAGGACAGCATTCACAGTGCACGTTCCCTCCTTCTGACCCTATTTTGAAACCTAATTCTTCAACTCAGATTTTGCATGGCAATCAAATATGAGTTTTCAATTCAGTATCCACAGCTACAACCACATCTGAACCACAAAGTAACAGAATTCCACTAGCAGCAGAACTGATTGCCTTGATGGCTTAACACACACAAAAAAAGAGAAAAAAGTACCACACAATTCTTTTCATGCTATGACCCTCACCATATCTCAGCTTTTCTATATATTCTGCTATAGTACAGGTAGTCCACAGTTTGGCTGCAACATTGACACTTTTTTTATTTTGCCCTGTGGACATTTTATTTACCTTTTGCAAGGCTAAGCTCTGAGGTCTGCTAGCCCCAAGTTTACTTAGATTTGAACATGAATCAAAACCGAAGAATTCAGAATGTACCTGTATTTACGTGATTAGATGTTCCTTCCATTACAAACACCTGTGTTTAAACTGCATGTTCAAGTGCTGCTAACACCAAAAGAACAGACTCAAGTTAATATAGGCGACTGTTTAAAAACAAGCTTGGCATTAACAGTCTTTTTTTTCCTCTTCCTTCTACACCCAATCTCTGACTTACTTCTTTTCTTCTTCAGAACACCTTTCTAATTACTATGCTGCACACCACCTTCTTTCATAAAGCGCTCTACGGAACTGAAGAGTCAAAATATTTAACAAGTTTGTTGTGATGAGCTTTCCACTTTCTCAACTTAAAGGACATTCCAATCACTGTTTTACCACTTACTTTCTCCATCTTTTATTAAACACTTTTTATTTATGTGAACAGAATAAACCACAGAACCAAATAAAGCAATTCCTGAAGTATAACTTTGCTACCAATATGTTAGTGGTTGTTGCCATCACACTGATCACTGAGTTTACTGAAGTAAATGGTTATTTCGCCCATCCATGAGCTTCAATGCTTTCTTCCACACTTTAACTGCAAGAGAAAGACCAGACACATCCTAGGTAATTCTTCCCGCCTTGTAAAGAGCACTGCACCTACAAGAAACAATGAGAGAATCTTCCAGTGCAGTGCTGTGCCACACTGTAATATTCTCTGTAGAACCATTAAGCAGACTTAAAACTAAAATAACTTGTCATAGTCAGGACAAATGCTAGGTGATCCCAAGTTCAACTGGTCAAAACAGTAAGTCCCAGTTCTGAAGTATTAAGATTTTCTGGAATAAAAAGTGTAATTTAAAAGATAGCGATGCATTAGGTATTGCTAACTGGAGAGTACTTGAGTGTCCTTGGTTGCACTTAACTAAGGACTGAGAAGAGAAATATCACCCCAGTTACGCACAGTATTCTTCTCACACCAAATTTCCAAATATTACACAGCAGAATGTCAGCTGTATTACTAGTTATACCGACCACTTCATGTGATACTACTAAAAAGACACCCAAATACTTTACATATTTTGGAAAAAAGTGTTTTAAAGTCCACATTTAAAAGACTAAAAGCTCACCATTTGCAGTTCCTGCTTGTGAATGAAATGTGAGCCAGTTAAACCATACTGACAAATTATGGTTTGAGTTCCACATTTTAAACAACAGTTTCCAACTCACATGGACTTCAGCTGATCATTAGGGAAACCGAAAATACGATGCAGTTTGAACTTTATTGTCCTACTGCATTTGGGCACAAGCTATTTTTCCCAATGCCAGGAAGGCCTTTTTCACCAGCCTGAAGGGCTTCTTAATTCTGAAATGGTCAGATCACCATAGTTAGCTCAAGTGGCTGTGTCCATCAATCTTACTTACTGTATTGGTGACCAAAACCTTTGGCTTATAAAAAGCAGAACAAAGTAAGTAAACCCATCCATGTCACGCCAAACATCAACTTCAGGTTAAATTCCTCTCCCTGTATCTGTCTAAAGCTTCTGTAACTCTGCTGATGTGCATTTAAATTTGCCTCTAAAACTGTTCATTTAAAGTCAGTGTAGTTATTCCTGATTACTCCAATGAAATTCAGAAGAGAATCATTCCTGACAGTCAAGAGTTCAGGCCATGCTGCTCAGGTGCTGTATCATCATGGAATCATAGAATAGTTTGGGTTGGAAGGGACCTTTAAAGCTCATCTAGTCCAATCACTCTGCAATTACTTCAGCAAAATTTTTTCAGCAAGTTACTGCTTTTTGAATTACTATCAAACTGCACTTTGAACAACTATATCAAATAGTTTATTTGTCAAGGGTACTCTGGAGCCCCCAGCACAGGAAACACATGGACCTGTTGGAGTGGGTCCAGAGGAGGGCCACAAAAACTGATCAGAGTGATGGAACACCTCTCCTGTGAAGAAAGGCTGAGAGAGCTGGGGTTGTTCAGCCTGGAGAAGAGAAGGTTCCAGGGAGATGTTACTGCAGCCTTCCAGTACTTAAAGGGGGCTTCTAAGAAAGATGGGGACAAGCTTTTTAGTAAGGCCTGTAGCAATAGGACAAGGGGTAATGGTTTTAATCTTAAAGAGGGTAGATTTAGACTAGATAGAAGGAAGAACTTTTTGACAATGTGGCTGCTGAAACACTGGCACAGGTTGCCTGAAGAGGTAGTAGATGCCCCATCCCTGGAAGGTCAAGGTCAGGTCGGATGGGGCTCTAAGCAACCTGATCTGGTTGAAGACATCCCTGCTCAGTGCAGAGGGGTTGGGCTAGATGGTCTTAAAGGTTCCTTCCAACTCAAATGATTCTGTGATTCTTCCAGTCAAAAACAAACAAACAAAAAATAAAAGTCAGTGCTGTGCTACAGATGCCACAATGAAAAATCCTTATAGGACCAATGAAACCTTCCCTTTTGTATTCCTCCCTCCAAAGCATTGTATGTGTATATTTCCTCAAGCTCTAGTGAGAAACACAATGAGTAAAATGTGTTTGGACGTTACACACTTTTTGGAAACCCAGCTACAGTTAGTTTGACTAAGATGTGAATATAATTTTTGCACTTTTTTCAGAACAGTGATCTCATAGCTCACGTAAATTAACAGATTCTACATGTTCTTCCATGCCCACATAACACCCACAGTCCTCATCAGTAATTCTCCAGACTGAAAACTGGACTTGTTGGTCTGTTAACTGTGTGTCTGAATAAGAGTCAGAATTACTTTTTCCATATACCATACAAAAAACAAATCCTTCTCTTCAATAGAGAGGTTATCAAATTTTAAGTGTCTGAAGACAGAAAACAAAAAACCTGGAAGTAGCATAATTTAAGCCTAGAAATAAAAATTAACTAATCCTCTTAACACCTAGTTGCAATGCAAAAGTATGACTGAATACAATGCTAGAAAGACAATAAAGTTAAAATGCAAAAAAATCCAACTGAGAAAAAAATTAATGCAATTTGAGTGTATTATGAAACACAGCGATACAATAAAACAACAGAACAAAAGGACAGCCTGAAGGAGACTTGAGAAGAGACATAAAAGGTTAAGAGCAAGCAACCTGCAACAGATTAAGCTGTCACCTGGTTTAAAAATTTCTCCGGCTTAAGAAATACAGTTATCTCCAAAAGCACTGTATAATGGGCTGGCTTAGCACAGCATTTCAGTATGTGTTCAACAGCAAGCACATCCTTGGACTGCTTCCCTGGATTAGAACTACAGTGCTCAGCACCGTAAGTCATCAAGTGCATATTCTGTAAGCTGTACCTTTTTCCAACTCTTGTGCTGCAGAGTATGAGAACTCTTTCAGACATAAAGCAATTAAAAAAGAAACTGAAGCAAATAAAGCTTGTCTTTATGGCACATCTGAAATTTGAAGCAATGCTTCTACCTTCCCTACATTTTTCTTTCATTTTACAACTAAGATACGATTGTTTCTGCACAACACCTCCTCCATTACCTATTACTATTTCTAGATATCCCCATTTATCTTTCCAAGTTATGTAGGGAAGTATAAGCATACTGCATAATTCTGGCTTGAATTCAGTACTGAAGCACACAAAGACTATGCACATATTTTTAAGAAGCAAGAATACAGATGTCACAAGGGACTTGGCAGTAACCACAAAAGAACACAGAGATTAACTCATGAGGTCACCAAAAAATAGGAATGGTTTAGTACACTTTTTTCAACTTCCTCATGTTGTATCTTCATACTTATTTGATAATATCAACAAATAAGCCAGTTTCTTTC